TGAAATGTTGAATCTCTGGGATGTTCCAAATGAAAGGGATATAGAACTATTAATGTCTTTATATAACGTTTTTATAAAAGAAATGAATTTAATGCCAAAACCAAATTTTTCGAGGGAGCGAAATATGAAATTATGTTTGATCGTGTCAAATGCCTTTCTAAAATCTAAAAAGAGAATATAGCCATCATCCTCAATACATTCACGATAGTCTAAAATATCTCAAATCAATCTGATGTTATTATGTATTGATCTTTCTTTTATAAAACCAGACTGTGAGTCACTAATTATTTGATTTATGTTTTTCTTGAGTCTATTGGAAAATATATGAGCTAGAATTTTATAATCACAGTTGAGTAAAGTGATGGGGCGAAGATTATCTATATGTCGTGCATCTTTACCTGGTTTGGGGATAAGAGTAATTAGACCTTGTTTCATAGTCGAAGATAGTGAATTAATATGGATACATTCGAGAAAGGCTCGAAATAATAGTTCACTCAAATCTTCCCTAAAAAATTTATAAAATTCGGAAGTGAGGCCATCAGGGCCTGGAGATTTCTCTGAAGATAGTTTATATATTGCTTTATCTAATTCCTCTATTTTGATGTCAGCCTCGCATAAGTCTTTAAATTCCTGGTCTAACTAGGTACTAGTATACTAACCTGGTATGCTAGTGTGTATATTATCAAAGAGAATATTAGAGCCTGATACAGAGAAGGATGAGCTATATAAAGAACTATAGAACTGAAAAATCTCTGAAGATCTTTAGGGCAGGTATTTTTGATGTCAGCCTCGCATAAGTCTTTAAATTCCTGGTCTAACTAGGTACTAGTATACTAACCTGGTATGCTAGTGTGTATATTATCAAAGAGAATATTAGAGCCTGATACAGAGAAGGATGAGCTATATAAAGAACTATAGAACTGAAAAATCTCTGAAGATCTTTAGGGCAGGTATTTATAACTCCGTTCACATAAAGAGAATTTATGGCATTTTTCTCCTGTCGCCTTTTTTCAAGTCTGCAAAAATAATTATTACTTTTTCCCATCTATCCATCTTGCTCTAGATCTTACATATGCTCCTTTAGCTTTTTGAGTATAGAAATCATCAATTTTGGATTGCAAGGAAAGAATTTGTAATTTAGTTTCATTGTCCATTTCACTTTTATTACATAAATAGTTTAATTCCAACTCCAATTGTGTTCTAATTTGGCGTTTTTTTTGTTGATCCCGCCTCGCGGCGATGACGTCATCACTAGCGCGCGCTCACTCCGTCAGCGTCGAGCCTTCTGAGGAGAGGAGAGCAGATCTATTTCACTTATTTACACAACTGTAAAATACACTTTACACGGTTTGTTTATGCAACGATGTTCGAGGTCGTTTCTGCCTTGTTTTATGCGTTTGCTAACTTAAAGAAACGTGAGGAAAACATGTGTTTGTGTGAATGATTGTTTCGATGTTTGGAGTGATAATGTTGCTGTTATTGAATGTGTCTGATCTGTGAGAGGAATGAATGCGAACCGATATCAAGTTTTGCTGATGCGATTTAATTTATAACGTTATTTCTCTGTCGTTTATCTTTGGCAGATCAAACTTGTTATAGTCACGTTACATGGTTAACATTACTTACAAACACTGATAAATACATCTTTCAGCCCAAGTAATGAGCCACGTGAGACATTTTAAATCTATAATGTTACAGATTTTTAATATATTATAAATCTGTTCATGTATAGATTTAAAATGTCCGATGTGGCTATGAAATGCATATAATGTGTGAATTATCACATGAGATTGCAGTGTTACTGGGTGAGCATTTTAAACAAATGTGCTCTTTGTATCGACGCCATTTCTTTTAATATAGTAATAATGATCTACGAAGAGGCAATACTTTTTATTTGTATTTTTGTATGTAGGCTCTTGTCTCTTCAAATATTTGAAATTAGAGGACATCTCCTTCACCTACATATATGCTTAAATTATTTTAAAAAATAAGTCACTGACTATAACATTATTAATTTTTTGGCTTTATTTATTGTTGATTTTGGCAAATCTGCTTCTTTCACTTAGACATTCATGTCCAGTGAAGCTCGTCCCACAACAATCCCACATTCAGTGATTCAGCAATAAATGCTAAAGTGAAGACAAGCATAAAATCATCAGGAAGAGCTGAAATCTGTAAAGACTGAGTTTATTAAAGAGGACAGAGAGAAGATGAGAGATCCAGAACCCTGCAGAATCAAACACACTGAAGATACTGAAGAACAAACAGGTTGGTGATTATTCTTCATTCTTCATTAATGAGGCTGACGGTTATAAAGCTTGAGGCAGTTTTAGATCTGGATTTATTGTAATTGTAATGTATATGTTGAATAATCTTGCTGAAGCCGCAAACAATAAGGGACACTTCTATCTCACAAGAGTCTCTGTTTTTATATGCAGTAATATTAGGACTTTTGTCTGTGATGCATTTGTGTTATTCTCAGAGGAGCTACAGAGC